GTGAAAGAGACAATGGTAAAATGGGCAAAAATTTTTGGATACAATGTGGATCTTGATGAGTGGACTAAGATGTGGAAAGAAAGCTATAAGATGTTTAAACCAGTAAATTAAAGAGAAAATATACTCAAAATGTTCTACAGATGGCATTACACACCTGTAAGACTAGCAAAAATGTCAGAAGGTAACAGCAATATATGTTGGAAGTGTAAAAAAAATGCAGGAACTTATTATCATATGTGGTGGACATGTGAAAAGGTCAAAATTTGTTGGACACAGGTATGGGAATTAGCAAAAGAAATTACTCAGCAGAAGTTAGATATAAAACCTGAAATGGCATTACTGAACGTCATGTCAGGAATAAATGATAATAAATTGAAGCATTGTCTCATGTATATACTCACAGCAGCTAGATTACTCTGGGCCCAAAAATGGAAAACCGAAGAGGTTCCAACGATAAAAGAGCTGTTAAAGAAGTTATGGGATACAGCAGAACTGGACACCCTTTCAGAAGCACTACAGGAACAACCAAGAGACTATGTAAAACAAAGCTGGGAACTAATATACTCTTGGGCCCAGAAGAAGACATGAGTGTAGGGTAAAATTTATGATACTGTATATGTATATCCACTTAGTATATACTGGAAACCAATCTAGGGAGAGTAGAGGGGTTAACGAGGCTGGAGTCTCTGACTCCAAAGGGGGGAGGGTTTAGGTTAAATAGAGGGGTTCGTTAGTTTTCCTTTTTTTCTTTCTTTGTATATGTGGTCTTTTTTCCCCCCTGTCTTTTTTTCTCTCTCTTTTCTTGTGTCTATTATGGTTTTTGTATGCTTGAAAATTATTCTGAAATTAATAGAAAAAAGAACTACACCATCAACAGATCTTGGAAAAGTGACTTGGTTTGGCCAGTAGCTCCCAGAACCCTTATGCTTGAAAATTATTCTAAAATTAAAAAAAAAAAAAGAACTACACCATTAACAGGTCTTGGAAAAGTGACTTGGTTTGACCAGTAGCTCCCAGAACCCGGCATCTGCAGACTGAGTGGAGGATTATGGGAGTTGTTGTCGAAGAATGAAACACTTCCACACCCTCATCTCAGCTAGGCAGAATGCAACATGGCAGAGTGTCGCTTTTGGCACAATATGTGGAAGAAGGCGTTCTGAATGTAGGACAGTGGGGCGAACGAGGTCACCGGAGTGGGGAGGAGAAGCAGCCAGCGGGCCCATAAAACAGCCGAGCCAGTCAAGCAGAGGCCCCTGAGCAGTGTTCCCGACAGCTTCTTTTCTGTGCAGGAAATACAGTGTGGAGAGTTTTGCACCTTTCTGAGGACACCGATTTTTGTCAATCTGGGAAGCTCAGCAGGGGCAGCAGCCCCTGCCAGAACATGGTGAGGAGACCACCAGAGGGTCTCTCCACGCCAGGGTGCAGGGAAAAAAAATCCCACCTAAAATGCCACAGAGCCAGTGTGGCCAGTTAGAGCCAACCATACTGGGCTCGGTGGACTGCCACAGGAAAGTCTCTCTTTTTTGCAACTTCTCCAGAGTTTTTCGGCAGGCGCCTGTCCCTCCGCCTCCATTCCTGGCGCTTCCTTGCCCAAAAGGAGGGAGCGAATTCACAAAGGATTAGAAAAAACAACACACACACAAACACCGCTTCTGCCGAGTGTGCAAGTTCGAATGTTTTCAGTTCGTTTCCAGAAATGAGCCGGCTGTCTTGCTAAAACACCCCAGCAGCTGAAGGAACAAGGCAAGGGGACCCCCCTCCCCTCTCGCTTGCCGTGACAAAGCCGTCTTGCACGGCCCCCCTGGGGGAAAACAGAGCAGTCCACGTTACATTCTTGCTTTGTAAGGTAGGTCTTCCCGAGGCCGTGCTGTTTATACTCGCCGCGGGCCGCCAACAGCTGGGCCCCGGAGGGAGGCAGCGACCGACAAGACACCCGTGGAGTAGGGGAAAACATGTTGTTTTGCTAGGACCGCGCGGTGTTTGCGCATCTGTCAACAGAATGCAGCAACCGGGGCAAAGCGGGTGGGTGGGCCATGAGGTGGCCACACCTAAGGTCATGTAGGGACACCGTTCTCTCCCCATCTTTGGCTCCAGGCATCTGCCCCAGGGAGCCTGCGACATTCAGCGAGAGAATTTGCCTCCCGGACAATAAATGTGCCACGCCACTCTCCGGCCAGTTGCTAAGGGAACTATTCTGAGGGCCCCAGGAACAGCCAGATCCCATGAACGACGAGACGGGGAGAACTTTGGACAGGGGCTCGCTCAGAGGACTCTCCCAGATTTGTCCAGAAAAGGAGGGTTGGGATTTATTAAAGGAGCTCCGGGATTTTATTTTATTTTATTTTTTCCAAACGGCAAGAAACTTTTCAAAACGTAGATCCTGGTCAGAACGGCTAGCCCTCTTTTACTTTTTAAAGGAGGGAATATCTGGAAACCCAAAAACTTTTCCTGCGGTTCCTTTCGCTGTCCTAAGTCAAATGTGCAATAATAATAATAATAATCCAAAACCCCTACCTAATTTGCTAGCCTGGATGACTTCCACTTCTGAATAGAAATGGTGGGACAACCACGGATTTGAATGACGTGGCGAAGGAGAAGGCTGTACCCACCGATACCTACGTACCCAATTATTTCAATTTAAAAAGTTCCTTGGCACCCACTAAAGCACGTATGGGGTGATTCTTTGGCATTTTTGCCTCTGTCCGGCTTATTTTAGGTTCAGGGTCCCCCTGTCCCAAACCCACGAAATGCTTAGAACACCGAAGGCTTTCGGCCTTACAGATCAGGGTGCCCTGAATGCAGCCACCCCCCCAAAAAAAACCTTTGGATTTTTTTTTTAAAATCAAAAATATTTGGGGGATGTTGAGAACGTTGGAAGTGCCGCCCATGGATCCCTTGGTACTGTGTATTTGGCCCCACATTATGGGCATTGGTTAGGGCAGTCAGTCCCAACTCTTGCGTCCCCCAGATGTTCCTGGACTGCAACTCCCAGATGGCTTCACCACGAGTTCTGCTGGCCAGGATTTCTGGGAGTCGCAGTCCAAGAACATCTGGGGACCCAAAGTTGGGAACGACTGGGTTAGGGGATAGAGTACAAAGCATCAAATGGAGACAAAATGGAGAAACATCAGGTATAATGGTGGGGCCCTGATATTTTGCCCTACAGTGACTCCAAAATGTGAACTGTGTGAGAGAGCCAGGGCAGAGGCAGAGAACGGAGGCCCTGGTTTTCTGGCAAAGCACAGGAAGTTTTCCTCTTGGATTCCAACCCCCAGTATCCCCCAGCCAGTTTGATCCCATGCTCCCCTGCTTTCAACACAAAGCAACCTTGCTCTGCCTCTCGCACGCACTGGCATCCTCATATTTGCATCCTCAAACCTCGGCGCTTCTGTGCACAAATTCTTACACGCGATGCCAGTTCCCTAGACCTCAAGCTGCAGTCTCAGGATTTTGAATTTTTATTTTTATTTTTAAAAGCTACTTGACTTTTTTCGGTTTCAATTCCCATTTTGGGGTGGAATGCCCTGGTAAGATTTTGGCAAACCAAGTTCCTATCTCTCCCTCTCTTTCCCCCCTAAACAAGTGGCAGTACCTTTTTGTTCATTCTTCCTCTTCTTTAACATTTAGGACAAGACCAGGTTCATCGTAGTAAAAGGGGCAACTGATCTAATAACTTTACTTTTCCAGGTGGCCTCTAACCTGGCCAGAGAGGTACACAGTGGAAAAGTCTCTTCCGCAATGCCTTCTGAACACAACCGGTGGGACAAAGATTTGAATGATGTGTGGGAAGGTGAGCATTCCTGTGACGAAAGCTGGCCTGTTTCACTTGAGGACAGAGGCGCACGTCAATCCTTCAGAGGTATGCAGATCTCTCAGTCTTTGGGAGAAGAGGGCCAGCCCAGCCGTTAGCCAGATCAAGGAGGCGGTGGCTGCCACCCACCCCCTGAGCCGGCCCTCGCCGCCACCAGCCTCGTTCTCCCGGCTGCCAGCCGGCTGCCTCTCGGAGAAGGTGGCGTTGCGGCAGGCAGAAGTGGCCCCTGTCTCTCTGCCGCCAGCCACACACATAACAGAGGCACTTCTTAAGACAGCAGTGTAAATAATGCATGGCCTGAAGGTTTCCAGAGCGAAGGCAAATTTTGGGCTACTCCTCCCCGTTCTGCCACAGCCCTGAGGATTTGGGAAGCAAGGCTTTATTACCTAAGGCAGGCAAGAAGACTGAGCATGTACCAACGCCTATGGAAAGGAGCAAGCAACCAGAGTGTGGGTGTGGGGGAGTGCACACCCATACAGCCCGAACCCTCCCTCCTTCTGACACACTGATTTGCACGGGATGGGGCAGTGTAATGCCGGGGTGGGAACCATGCAGCTCAGTACTGGTTTTTTTGGTCCCCAAAAGGAAAAGAAGAATATTCTGACACTATCACACAAAATAGAACCATTGTAAATCTGGGGGTGTGCTTCTCCTCTAAAATCAACATTTGTGCCTCCCACAGTGCATTTTAGAAACATAACAATCACCTTCATTTTCCCCCCAGTAACAACCACAATACAATTCTTAAAAACAAACAGCAAGTAGGCCTAGGGGTTGAAAGTGGCTTTCTGGTCTCTTTCTGTTTCAGTGGGACGGGCTGGTATAGCCCCACGAGGTCTTAAGAGCTGGAAAAATGACACACACCCCCGACGTCCAGAGGCTGACTAACTTTGGTGTAGGGCGGGGAGATCTGAGTTCAAATCCCCACTCTGCAACGAAGCTGGCTACGAGCGACGTCTTGTTGCAGAACCAACCTCACAAAGTTACTGGGAAGGTTAAAAAAGGTGCAAGGCAGTACCATCTGTGTACACCAGAACAAAATGAGTACAACAGCTTTCACATTTCATAGATATATGAAATTGTGCAAAGACTTGGATCGACCCACATGCACATGCTTCACAATGTTTCCTCCTGGCACCCCCCGTCCTGTGCGTCTCCCGCCCCCTGCAACCCATGTCAAGCTCCTTACTACGGCAACGTGCACAGCGACTCTGGTCGTATTCCAGCAGCTCTGAAGGGCGCAAACGATCCTTCGGGGGCTTCCAGCGCTCCTGCTGCAGCCGGATGCGAGCCGCTTCGTCCTTGGCAAAAGCTCCTAGGTCCTGCGTGTAGCGGCCATACATCTGGCAGGGGAAGAAAAAGCAACAAGTTCAAGGGCGCTGCCGGGCAGAAAAAAAGATTCATTTGGGATTACCTGAAAAGGTGAGCAAGGAGCATCTTCCTTCCTGTTTCGGGCTCAGAGCCTGCAAATTTTAGTTTCTGAATCCCTTTCAGTCCTTCCCACACTGGCTCGAGGATTCTGGGAGCTGGAGTCCAAAGCCCACCCCATCTTTCCAAGCTCTGCACAATAAACCATTTTCCCTTTAAGGATTCAGAGGAAGGGTGTGCAACATGAGGCTAGGAAGCAACCGGAGGCCCCCAAAAAGATGTTTCTGTGCCATCCCAGGGCCCACCCAATCCCGCTTGGTCAAAAAACCCTAGTTGTGTCTTTGGGTTTCCCAAGCATAGGAATCTTCTGAAGTCCTCCTAGACTTCACCCACCAGCAAAAGAACCTGGCACAGTGCCCCCCTTTCAATGACATCTGGTGTGGCCCATGGTAGGTCCTCCCCCTCCCCTTTCTTAAGGCTATTCTACCACCTACTAAAATGAAAGGAGTCACCAAAGGCTTACCAACAGTGGGAAAGTCTGTTTTGAAAAGGGCGGGCAGAACTTTGGTTCTACTTGGAGGAGCCTTTTTGTTGCTTGCTTGCTTGTTTACTAACACCCCAAAATTTACCAGCTAAAGATCAAGCAAAAGAAGAAGAAAAGAAACACACGTAAGACTGAAGAGCAGGTTGAAGCGCCATATCCTGACCGAAGGGATTTTTAAAAAAACATTTCAGCTGCCTGATTTCCAAAACCCATTTTGCCATTCTTCTTGTTAAACAAAGAAGCACCTGAAACCTTTGCTAATGCATTTATTTGTTCATATACCAGTCAGACTGATGTATCTGCTTTATGTGCAATGACCACCACCCCAAAGCAGCATAACAAGGTTCCCCTCTGCTCCAAAGTATTCTAACAACAATTCTTACAGTAACTGGATTTCATAGCCAGGTGGGTCAAACAAGAGTTTGGAAAAGTTGTAGCCTACTAACCCCTACAACTGACAGCCTGATAAAGATGAGGATTTTAACCTGGTTGTGTTGATTTCGTTTTCATTCTTGTTTCGATAATCTTAAGAACTGGAGAACTGGAAGGGACAACCTCTGAATCACAGAGGTCACCCCTTGTCAAGGAGGCACAGTGGGGAACTGAATTCCAAATCTCTGCCTCTTCAGCTGGATACCTAAACCACTGAACTATCCTGAAATGTTTTACAGTGCTTTAATTGTCACTGTCGTGAGTATGGCTAACGGCTGGATTCCAAAAGATCTCCTGGATGGAGAATGAGTGCAGGGAAAGCGCCCCAGAGGGAGACCACAGAGCTGCAATACAAGGATATCTGCAAGCGCTATCTGAAAGTCTTAGGAATGGACCTCCACAGATGGGAAACCTTGACCTCTGAGCGTTCAGCCTGGAGGCAGGCAGTGCATCACGGCCTCTCCCAATTTGAGGAGACCCTTGTCCAGCAGGCCGAGGCAAAGAGACAGTCCCGAAACCAGCCAAATCAGGGAGCTGGACAGAGGACAGATTGTATTTGTCTTCAGTGTGGAAGGGATGGTCACTCTCAAATTGGCCTTCTCAGTCCCACTAGACGCTGTTCCAAGTCCTCCATACAGAGCATGTTACCATCGTCTCTCGAGGCTGAAGAATGCCTAATCTAAATTTTCACTGGACGGAATCCTACCAGTAGTCGTGTAATGTTTTTTGTAACGTGCAGCAGCTAATCGCAGTTGATTGGCGAGATGCCAGTATAAATCTCGGTTGTGAAACTTCATCCGTGAACAGATATGTGATTAGGGCATACCCTGGTTCCTTGTTAATTAGCAATTAGCCATGGCAAGCAAACACCAATAGCCAATACCATTGAAGTTTAATATTATAATAGATTTAATTATATTTTAACATTTGCAATTTGTGTTTTAGTGATAGGGTCAGCTCCCTTGTGTCCGAGTGCTGATAGTATATAAATGACATACCACAATGAGTAAATGAAGTATCTGGCTGTAGAGCCTGAGGTTTATTTATTTATTTATTTATTTATTGTATTTATACCCCACCTATCTATTCATTTCGACCACTCTAGGCGGCTTACAACAAATGATAACAAGTTCTAAAAAAATTATAACAATTAATTAATTAGATGATTCTATAAGATGGGAAAAATAAAAATAAATCAAAGAAAGAGAGAAAGAAAAAGGAAAGAGGACAGGAATTAACTGGAAGGGAAGGCCTGCCTAAACATCCATGTTTTTAGTTGGTTCTTAAAAGTACCCAGCGAGGGTGCAGCGCGAATCTCCGGAGGTAGGTTATTCCAGAGACGAGGAGCCACCGCTGAGAAGGCCCGGTTTCTAGTTCTTTCTTTCCGGGTCTCCCTTGGCGTCAGGCTCCTCAGCCTCACCTCTTGGCTCGCACGGGTGACACGGGTAGAACTAGTTGGGAGTAAGCGTTCCGCCAAGTATCGAGGTCCTAAACCGTTTAGGGCTTTATATGGTTGGGAGCTCAACAGAAAAGCCAGCCTGGGTGGCCTTGGGCAAGCTGCACAGTCCCAAGGCGCCCCCTGGAGGAAGGGAATGGGAAACCACTTCTGAGTATTCTATATGGAGAAAATCCTGGAAAGGGTTGTCATAGGTCAGACTGGTGCTGGAGGAAGCTCTTGAGAGTCCCCTGGACTGCAAAGAGAACAAACCTATCCATTTGGAAGGAAATCAACCCTGAGTGCTCACTGGAAGGGCAGATCCTGAAGCTGAAGCTCCAATACTTTGGCCGTCTCATGAGAAGAGAAGACTCCCTGGAAAAGACCCTGATGTTGGGAAAGTGTGATGGCAAGAGGAGATGGTTGGACAGGGTCATCGAAGTGACCAACATGACTTTGACCCAACTCCAGGAGGCCGTGGAAGACAGGAGGGCCTGGCATGCTCTGGTCCATGGGGTCACGAAGAGTCGGACACAACTTAACGACAAAACAGCAACAAAGTCAGACTTGAATTGACGGCACATCATTGTCGTCATTATCAATGAAATAAATTTTTGGTCCTCTAAGTTTCGTGATGAACCTGATCACCGTGGTTCACTCTCTAATTGTACAGCTATCCACTCCTATCCAATTTCATAGACAGCCACAAATGTTTTTTTTAATGAGGTCAGCCACTTCCTTCTGTTTAGTAGGCATCCTCAAAATACCAGATCATGGAAAATCACGTTTGGGGACTATAACTCCCAGAATCCACCAGCCAGCAGTTATGACAAAAGTAACTTTTCTGAGCTCTGCAAAAAAAATAAAAAATAAAATAAAAATGTATCTCTGTTACAAATGTGCCAAGAAGCCTGGATAGTTGACCTTCCTCCAAAAATCTTATATTTTTGCAAGTGAGATATACAGTATATTGAGGTCAGTGACTTCAATTTCCAGTTCATCTCATGTTCAGTTCAGCGGAGAGATGACAAAGTGATCAAGGTGGGGAGCAGAGCTGGTTTTGACCTCTGCTACTACATGCAGCTTTTTTGCACCCTGCTAGGAGGCTAGTGCAAAACTGAGGCTGTCGCACTGAGAGTATGATGAGAAGACCCCCACGGAAAAGACAATAATGTTGAGGAAAGCTGAAGGCAGCAGGAAAAGAGGAAGACAAAATATGAGATGGATTTATTCCATGAAAGAAGCCATGGACTTGACTTTGCAAGAAATGAGCTAATGGTAGGACATTCTGGAGAATGAATGACTCTGACTTACGATAACCCTATGAATGAATTCATTCATAAAGTCATTGTAAGTCAGAGGCGACTTGACTGCACACAACGACAACAAGGAGATAATAAGAAAGACACCCAGCAAACAGACCACAAGTGATATCTCAAGCTTGATTTCCAGGGTAGCTAGAGAGGTCTTGTCCACTCCACCTCAACCCTGAACAAAGGTACAGAATTCGAGAAACAAAAAAAAGTTGACAATCTGTCTTTCCATTCCTATTATTAGACACTGCCTAGATGTAGAAAACGAGAAAGCCAACAGCGTCCTGGGATGATGGAGAAAGTAATGGAGGAGGTGGGTGTCTGCAGGGAGGTATGCACGGTTGTGAACCAAGTACCAGAAAGGCGTCCATAGGATTAAAAAAAGCAGCAGACTACAAAAGCTATGGAGTTATTCAATTACTCTGCTGTTTTGATCTGACTAGTGGGCTTTCCCGGAAGAGGCCTTTGATTAGCCGGTGTGTGAAGACCACGTTCCATGATCTGATCTCTCTGCAATTTTTCGAACCACTGATCAGCTGTTTAAATCGCTGTCTTGCGAAGCTTAGGTCCCAAAAACACCTGTTTTGGGAGTGCGGAGGGAGCTGTCAAAATCATCATCTAGCGAAAATCGGTTTGCAAAGCAGGGGCCAAACATTGTCCAGCGAAATTCCCCCATAGTAATCACTGTTTTGCGAATTGCTATAGCGATCGCAAAAAGCCAATGTCTAGTGAAAAAACTGTCATGCGGGGTAACTGTCTAGCGAGGCACCACTGTACCAGAAAGGCATCTGTAGGATAAAACAAGCAGCAGACTACAAAAGCCATCGAGTTATTCAATTACTCTAGGTGGGGATTTTGGGTCTCTGCCATTCAACAAATAACCTTTCACAGCTCTGTCCCTTATCTGCAATGGTTAAGTGCAGGGACTAAGAAATTCAGCTTTCATGGGGGTTAAAATAACATTCAGGGTGTTCATCTTCAGCAAGAGGACTGACTTCTCTCCAGGTTTCCAATTCTTCTGTCTTACTGGAATCCGATCTGATCTGGGGTATTTTTTTTCCAAGGCGGGGCACAGAGATGGGTCAAGGCAAGGTGGCGAAAGAAGACTCTCCCCTGTTCAAAAATGAGATATACAAGCCCCCCTCCAGAACAATGGCAGGCAGATAAGGACCGGGCAGGCAGGCTGGCGGATCAATGCTCATTGTTCCCCCAGTACAAAGCTTCTCCCAGCACAGAGGCCGGAAATGGGCC